GAAAATCTGAAAGAAGGATTGAGAGGAATTACATTAATGTTCGTGAACAGAAGCTTACCATTTAGTACGCATATGGAACTTTTTAGCATGATTGGCATACGACCAATAAGAACACCTTTTTTCGATACCACTTCGTTCTGCCTAACGAATGTAACATCAACAAGAATTTCGCCAGCATAGGTTAGATCACGGAGTCTGCAGTCATGAGGAGTAACACGGCTGGCAACAACCCCTCCATCATTGACTGTTGGAGGTTTGATATAAATATCATTGTACTCTAACCACCAATTAGCTTCTGGAACACTGACACGACTGTTTGCCCGGACAATATTTTTTATTTCTGTCTGAATAAAATGATTGAACGAATCGATGTGGAGTTTGACCAATCCCTTTGAGGCCAAAAACGATGGGACAAGATAATGTTTCTGATTCATAACTTAAGTAATAAGATGGAGAGTTGCACCGAGAAAGTAGGTGACTGACCAATAACAATTCCTGAAGAATGGCGGCTGAGATATATCGTGTCCAGTAAGATGAGTAGGTAGGGTAACTATTGACCTATAATACAATCATCATGGAAAAGTTTGAAAAATCGCATCAATAGGAGAAATAAATTCAAACTAATTCTATTCAGGTCACTATACACGTGTTTCGGCAAGTCCTATGGATATCATAAAAAAATCAAACGTTGGATTGATTACACACTGTCGGGTGTAACTATAGTTTCTGCATTTCAATACAGTACATGAATGACTGATGAAAAACTGTAATTTAGCAAGATCTTAAATGCACTAACAACAACTGGGAAAGAGTTTTTGCCCTACTCCATAAGAATACAGATAAGTACCCCTCCAGAAATTCATATATTTTTAAGTCCGATAATTATTTAGAATTATACCCAACAACTTGAACACAATCCAGGTATACGGCAAACTAAGATCTAAATGGGTAGTATGCTGACATTGTTTCTTCACGTTTTTCGAGAGTAACGACTACAAAATTCTACGACTATCTGCTTGAATACCCTCGAGCATGAAATAGCAAACAGATGTTCATTGTCATAACTGACTGCAATGAAGCTTCCAAGCGACGCCAAGATTGTTATCTTTTAGTCAACTGATTGGTTCTGGATTAGGACTTAAACAAATTTTAGATCGTCAAAATGTGTCATTAAAACGCCCATATATATCTGAAGCATTGGTTATACGAATACAGGTGAGTGAAAGATTGGTAAGCTCTGGATTTCGATCTACTGTGGAAAGCAGGTATATTGAGGCATCTAGACTTTTAAGCCTGGAAATTACAAAAAAGTATAGAGAAACCTAGTGTTAGGAAACTGCTAAAAAGTTGGAAATATAAAGTGCGTTTAGCAATTACTGTAGGCTTTTTTAATACTTCCGATTATTACTAAGATGTATCAACTAAAAAGTTAATACAAAACGAAAAAATTAATTCTCCAAGGCATCTCGAACACTGGGCAAAAATTTTCGAATAACAGCTCGTGTTTAATGTTAATCAGACAACTAAGTTCTATTTGGTAGTTGACGACTGACCATCCTATATAGTAGGCTACATTACAACTGTAGTCAGGATCTAAAAATCTTCACTATCACTTGACAAATGAACACGCTGAGTGGTAAATACTTATCGTAATTACACGGATGAATACGAAACTACCTAGAAAAACGTAGAACTTGTTCTCATTAAGTACTGTATCTAAGCAATAGCGCTGTGAAAAAACAGACAAGATCAGAAAGTCTAGGCTGAATTTACAGACACATAAGTAATATCAGCTAGGTATACCTGAAGATTAATATGAGCTGTACCAGAGCCCGGGGTAAGTCAGACGAAAACGAATTATATTTCAAGAGGTGCAAGCAATTAGCATAAAAACGGTCTAAATGTTTTACGGATTCCAAGTTTTACTAAATATTTGGAGCGGAATTAAGACGTCCCTATCGACATTCATCTTTTATACTGCTCCACCCTGTGTTTAGGTTTTTATTTTTTAGTTATAGAGTGATTTTAAGTATGCCAAACCTCAGTTTTTGAACGGTAAAATAACAAGTGTCGGATTACACATCAAATGATACATCATAATAATGCATATAATGAAACAGGCAATAATAACATTATTGACAAAAATTTTTTTGCTCTACCAAAATTACGCAATCATGAAATCGTATTAAAAAATCTGTAAGATAAACTGTGCAACTGTGCAACCGCAGGTAACACTACATGTGACGTAGCAACTTGACCTTCGCGCCTTACATACCGTACTGTTATCCCCATCGCAGTAAAGTCCGCCAACCAGTAGTCTTCAGGCTACTCAGAATGGATCTTCCTTTTCCATTTCTGTTCAATTTTTATTCATTTTCCTCATATCGTTTCCCTATTTCTTGGCGTAATGTGTTTCTTAACCTTCCTCTTTTCCTTTGACTTTGAGAGTTCCAATTGAGCACTTGTCTTGTGACGCAGTTAGGCGCATTCCGCAGTGTGTCCTATCCGCTTCCTGCGCTTCTTCCTGATTTCCTCCTCCACTGGAATCTGGTTTGTTCCTTCCCACAATAGGTCGTTACTGATGGTGTCTGGCCAACGGATCCGAAGTATTCTGCGTAGACAACTGTTAATAAATACTTGTATCTTTTGGATGATGGCTTGTGTAGTTCTCTGAAATTCCTCCCCATACAGTAGAATTTTCTTGACAGTTGTGCTTCAAATTCTGATTTTGGTGTTGATTGTTTGTTTGTTTGGAGTTCCAGATGTTGTTCAGTGGTAAAAATGCAACCCTTGCTTTTCCAATCCGCTCCTTTACATCTGCATCGGATCCACCTTGTTCGTCAGTGGTGCTGCACAGACATGTGAAGGTTTCTGCATCCTCTAAAACTTCTCCATCAAGTGTGTAATTTTTGTTGCATGTTATGTTGATAAACTTAAGTCATTAAAATTGAAGGAAGAGTAGACATAAAGTGCTTTCTATGTAATATATACAAAAAAACAATCATGACAAAATGAATATCGTCTTGCATTTGACTATGAGCGCTCAGTTCTTTGTTTGTTTGTGAGCTAGATATTCGTTTGTATTAGAACTTCGTGAGGCTTAGTGGCTTAACTAATATGGTACTGTAGGTAAAATCTTTCATTCACATAGTTTACATAATTATTTAAATTAAGGACATTGTGACCCTAGCTGATCCTTACTGAAACATGGCTATCCTCTTGACAGTGCAGATGACGATGTGAGCCTGCAAGGTATGTCACTCTACCGAAGTGATCGGTACACAAAACAGCAAGCGGAGTGACTATATATATAAACAGACATTTAAAAGCCAAGCGTCTTTACGAGGTGAGAGAATCATGTTGATGTTTTTTTCAACACAAATGCCACAAAATACTTGATTTGAGAGATATACTAGCGTTCCTCAGGTATCAAGGCCCAGAAAAGTAAAATGACTGAGGCAATACTCCAACTGCCACTCCTGGGGATTGAACAAATACTCTTAGCTGGAGATTTCAATACCCAATCTCTAAATCTCAGCAATCAGGTTGCAAATCTCACTGATTGCTTCCAAAGACGACTTGTTGCAGCCGTTAGAAGCTCTCGGCTTACTAAGCACGTATGTAGTGACACTAGATGGGTCAAGGAAGGAATGTCCTCAAACCTGGACTATTTGTTAACAAATGATCAGGTCCTAGTCGAGGATGTTCACGTCCATGCATCGATAGGAAGTAGTGACCATGGCACAGTCTTATTTAACATGGTCATAAGCGAAACACACACAGGATGAACACGAGCCCTATCTTCGCTACACTGTAGCAAATTATACACTAATGAGAGAGATCCCCCACATACCCCATGGACACTGAAGTGGTGGAGGCTGATAGTAGATGATAATTGGCAAACTGAGAACAGTCATCCAGAATACTGTCCTTAGCAATGTACCTCAGTCACAACACACACCGGGGAACAGAAGAACATCAATTAGGCGCGGCTACAGGCGGAGAGAAGATGTTGGCACAAGTGGAAGGTTTCCTTGAAGGGTTCTGATCGCAGTTCTTACCTGGCATTGAGAAGGACCTCACCAACGTAGAAATGGCGGAGGTCTTTAACGCCAACTTCAACGAGCAGCTGAACCAGGTAACCGCATCTTAAGAGTACTACGCAAACCCAGTGCCAGCTGGTGGCTTGGGGTATATCCGTATTAATCCTGAATTAGTACTAAGGAAACTGAAAACCTTACAGAACAGTCATCAGGTTGTGATAATATTCACCGCATAGTTTGGAAACAATTTGGCATTCACTGGAGTCACACCAACTCCTTACCGAACGGAAACAAACTGCTCTCTCTCCAATCTTCAAATGGTTGATCAACGGTAAACGAACACATGAAGGAGTACATAGATAATAACAAAATAATCCATAAGGCTCAACAACTGTTTCGGAAAGGCAGGTCTAATCTAATCTTCTCATTGCATGGGACAGTTGGATGTCCTGCTTGGACTGAAAAATACCGGTGCACGTAATGTTTCTCGACTTTGCAAAAGCCTTCGGGATAGTACCCCACGCACGCCTAATCACATATGTCACGTAAATGGGCTTCATTGACCCACTCCTATCTTGGGTCTGAAACTACCTTAAGAATACAAAGTTTCGTACCAGGAGAGTCAGATGTGACCTGATTATGGCGTACAACATATTAAGCACGCCAAACTATCTCAGCGTGAGCACCTTACCGATGCGTCACCACCACTCCCCTCAAGGCAGTCCTCGGAAAATTGTTCATCAGAATGAGCACGCAGGTTTGTGCACACTTTTTCTTATTAAGAGTCGTCGCAAATCGGAGTGCTGGTAATGGGGTAGCTGCTGGCATCCAGAAACCTTATTACCTTGAAACAAACGTATTCTTTCAAATCACTGGACCTACAAACTCACAAACAACAGTCAACTGACTAGAACTAGACTAGAATTAGCCCCCCATCCATTTAACACTGCCAAACACGTGGAACCGTGCCGAAAGAACAAGAATTTAGCGCAGAGAATCAATTGGTTTATGCCAGCTCGTGAAAAAGATATTGGGTATTGGTTATTGGATCCTTGTTTTCGGCGGCAATCATGAAGTTAGGAGAGGTTCGGCACATTTCTGACTGTATTATCCTTTAGTCACCAATTTATACGGAATGTTTCGATGGTTCGACATATGTTTTAAAGAGACTGGAGCCAAACCCAGTTTCGAAAGTTCTTATCAACTCAATTCGTCCAATGAGGATACAAGTTCAAAACGTTTTAACACTATCTATGGTAGTTTTCATTTCAAGGTTTGTAATATCTATCTTTAGAAACATATATCAAAATACCAGTCCAACGTTAGTAGTACCACCACATGTACGTCAGTTTCGTTTAATATGTTTCAAAATAGCTATGATCGATGTCATTAGAGATGAACCTGTCATACTTGCTCGTCTAGGATTTGTTGTTAGTTGTGGTTTAGGAGGCTATATTCTTGGATATAAAGGTGAGTTCAGTTATATTCTTTCAGAGTGATATCAACAGGCCATTCTGTTCGCAAGTTGGTATACGCATCTTTAGGTAGTTCTGTCGCAACTCTTGTTTGTTTCCCTAATGCTTCACTATCTAATGTGAAGTGCGCCATTGATCTTATATCAAAAAAGTTCTCCGAGATGACCAAAAAATAAAGTGTAAGTCCAGTTTACCCTCCTTTTATTTATTTCAGTTGTAGTTTATAGTACCCACACATTGTCTCGTTGAAACAAATGTAAATAACTTATTTCAGTGTGTAGTTGCATTATAGTTGAATTAATCATAATAATACCGAATAATTTAAGCTCCTTAGAAGTATTGAATTCTGACATTCTTCCATATAAACGTCTTCACTATTTTCGGATTATATTCTCATCGACTCTACAGTGTTGCGATTCCTTTGCCATTAATCTCGTCGTCTTAGTATAGTGTTCCAACCCACCGATGACACTGTACGTTTACCATGGCTGATGGAGAGTCAGATAGTTTGCACTTGGTTTAAGGCATGAATAACCTGTGTAAAATATATGTGAGTGTTATCTAATCATATTGCTTAATCGCTGCAAAACATAACACACGACATTACCAACTGTGATGGTTGACAATGAATAAGACCAGTAAAAAATATTATACCTTAAATAACAATGTTAGCATGATTTATAAGTAGTCGAATATATTTTCTCAGGGTCTTTCGGAATGTGTGTATTTCCGTTCCTAATACAGTTGTGATAACTAGTGTCCTGACCATTGTAGTAGTTGTCATTGTAGTGCTACGTCCCTGTCATTTGTTGTAAGGTAAGTTTTAAAACCGAATCCCACTATTAAAAATCTTTCCAGACCAATTACTCAATATTCCACTTATAATGAAACTCGTGTGTTCTTTCGTTTTTGTAAGCTGACCTCGCCCTAGCATTCTGTTAGCTGTTGCTACAAGTAAAATATCGGAATCCATTCATTATACTCAAGAACTACAATGTGTAGTGCTCATCTAAATCTTACGTAAGATCTGAATAATTTCCGGTTACCGCATGCACATTATGTATGAATACTGCTTTATCCATCAAATACTACTGAGGAAATGTCCTAATTATGGACGCTATGAAGTCGACTTGGTATATATGAGTTGTGCACGTTCAGCTTGTTTTCTTGATTCTTTTCTATCGTTCTCTAGAACTAAATATAATTGGAACCTTTACATCCATTCCTAATTGTTGCTCGTTTTCCCACAAAGTTTTTATTAGTCTTGCTGTCCTACCTACTTGAACGTGATAATTCTAAAGTACACATGATTGCAATTAACGTGCACTATCACACCTGCAAAGTTTGTTGGAGATAAATATTCCCCACTGCTTTTAATTATCTTGATTATGTAAAGGGCTGAATTTTTAACATTTAGATATCTTTGAATGTGGATAAGCAGGTCATGTGCAGGACTTAACACAAAAAGTGGATGCATCTGCGCCATTGCAAACGATTTTGAGCCATGTCGTTCAAGGTCTCCAACCATTGGTAACTTTCGTCTCGCGGACCCCAACTAGGTAGCCTGCATCTACCAACATGACTCAGTCCACTTGTCAGTGATTTCATGGATTTGTGCCATGTTTCGGTTTGGCCACCCCTAGCTTTCTTCCAACCTACTCCTACACCACAAAACATTGCTCGTCAAGGTATTCGGTGGTTGGGCATTCGTAACACATGTCCCAACCACCTCAACTGACGAAGTTTCACTACTTCATCAATCTATCTGCCATTCCTACCTAGTACTCGTTTCCTAACGACAGCATTGCTTACTCGGCTGTCCCAGGATATACGAGCAATGCTTCGGAGACACCTATGGTTGAAGACAAGCAACCTACGGATGTCCTCTACTCTTGCTGGCCATGTTTCGCATCCATATAGTAGGACGGAGCGAACTGGTGCGCAGTACACTCGTTCTTTGGATAGCAAACGGATACAAGTTGGAAAAAGCCAATGGAGCCTTCTGTATCCGTGCTGCGATTTCGTCAGTCACCAGGCCATGAGCACTGATGAGACTCCCGGGATAGATGAAGCGATCTACACACGACTACTTCACTCTCTATCACTAACTAGTTCAGGTGCCGACGCAAGCCAATCTTGAAGCAACATTTTGCATTTCGAGGGGGAAAACCGCATCCAGAACATGCTTAGATTGTTGCTTAGGGTAGTCAAGAGACACTGCATTTTGTCAGTGTCTTCACCAAGTAGAACTGTCATCGGCATATTCTAAGTCAACCAGTGGATCTCCCGGTAGAAGGTTCTTTGCTGAAAAGTCATACGAAGATAATGTTATCTCTAAAAGCATGTCTATGACAAATCTAGACAAGAATGAAGAAAGTGAACATCCGTGATGGACACCACCTGAAGTAAAGAATTCCGATGACAGTTCGCCATAGCCTCTCATTCGACTAAATAGTGTTCGATTAGAGAGCTTGTTTTAAGGTTAACGTACTTCCTTGTTACACCTTTTAGTGACACACTCCCACAGAATCTCACGATCAACAGAGTCGAATGCCGCTTCAAGATCGAGATATACTATTATAATGGGGCGTCTGAACGTATGTCTTTGTTCTAGGACCTGTCGTAGTGTGAAAATGTGGTCTATACATCCACGTCCACATCAAACATCAGCCTGGTTTTCTCGAGTCTGCTCTTCACGAGCTTTTGTTAAGCACTGGATTATTACAGAGGCCAATATTTTCGACACTGCGATTATCACAAGAGGACTTCTGTCCTTTCTTGCTAATTAGGACAGTGGACGACTGAGACCAGTCAGATGGGATTACGTCCAGTTCCCAGATTCTACCTAAGATTTCAGTCAACCTAGCTTCTAAAACTGGACCGCCATCCTTAAATATCTCAGGGGTCAGTCTGTCAGGACCTGCTGCTCTACCTTGCTTTAGATTTCTTATAACTTTCTTAACTTCATAAAGACCAGGAAGACTTATGTCGATTTGCCATTCAGGATGACTGTAGATCGTGGGCAACCGAAGTGTGGCTGAAGGCGATTTGAACTGATCCCCAAAGTGTTCTGTCCATCGATCCAATCTCCTGGATTGGGATTAAATAATAGTCCCATCCTTTTCCGAGATAGTTTCACTTACACTAGGATTCCTTATACGAGTTTCCTTGATATGTCGGAAAAGTTGTCTACTGTTGCCGATCTCCGCTGCCTTTTCCATCGCTTTTGCTTTCGCCACCTACCACTGTTCACGGTCGTTGCGTAGGATTTTTATCAACCTGCGCTTAAGCTGACTTCGTTCTACATCATGTTCAGAGCCAGGTGGGATGAGTTTTCGAGCATCCATCAGTTCGGTGGATGCTACTAAAATCCACGGCTTCTTCCTAGCCTTATGGTTAACCTTACTAGCAGATATCACTGCTATTTCCACAGCCTATTTGATATCATTCCAACCTGCCTCCGGATGGGAATCGCTTATATGATTGCCTAACTCTCTCTCTAGTTGCTCTTGAAACATATTCTAAGCTTTGTTATCATTAAGTGGAACCCTCAGGGGTTACCGTGTGATCTATTTCCAACGTCCAGTAATCCGCAAACAAATACGCGCTCGCACTAGATCATAGTATGAATTCAAACAAGTGTTCTAGAATGAATGGTAGTCTTCAATAGAGCATCTCACCGATGGCTTATAGTTGGGTCTTCCATTGGGTCAGCTTTGGGGGTCGCCAGGTGAGGAGACGTTTTTCCTTATGCTTAAAGTTAGTGTTTGCTAGAAATAGGTGGTTATCTGAGCATAGATACTGCAGATGGTCGCCATTATCTGTTCTTTGAGCCGCGACACCATAGGATCCACCCAGGTGATTTTCCTTTTCACTTAGTCTACCTACTTGAGCACTGAAGTCACCAGCCATCATTACTATATCAGAGCGCCTAGCATTTCGCAGGAGGTCCGAAAGCTTTCTGTAAAACTCATCTTTCACCTCGTCTGAACTGAAGTCAGTGGGAGCGTAGGCGGTGACAACAAACCTGCAACGGCGTGTCCCTATCTTTCCGATTCTTTACTATCCCGTTTAGTCGGACAGCGCATAAGCGATTATCTACTGGGATCCAGTCTAGGAGAGCTAGTTCTGCCGTCTTACTCAATGCTGTACCTACGCCAGCGATATCCCGGGAAGCAGCATCAGGGCTTCCAGATACATGAAGAGTGAATCTGGCTGGTTCTTTATTTTGACAAGGTGAAATCAAGTTAATGATTTCACTAGGATCCTGTGTGCGCGTCAAGGTAACAGCTACGGTTGGGACTCTTCTAAGTGATGACTTAACTCACAGGGCAGAGTTTAAATGTTTTGAATTATTTTTTTTGTTAGCGAGTTAGTTTTCTACGGAATGGGGTCGCCAGTCGCACGCCTAACCCTCCTCGTTTTTCCGGGCTTAGGACTGGTAGTTGCCCTCGAGGGACTCCAGGTTGAGTTACAGGTACAGAAGGCCTGAATGGCATTCGCTAACGTGCGTCATATATAGCATGGGAGATATATCTGTCTACTAATCAAAGGACGAGTCAGTTGCGCATCAGTTCTCTCCGTCCTACTTTAGGAGTGTGAATTATGACCACTAAAAATCAACAGTGTACGTGGGCTTCTGTTATTGTATCTTCGAAGCACTGCTCGTATATCCTGTGACAACCGAGTAAGCGATTCTGTCGTTAGGAAGTGAGTATTAGGTAAGGATGGCAAATCAATTATGAAGTGGTGATTGTTCATCAGTTAAGGTGGTTAAAAAGTGTGTTACATTTGCCCGACCACCCACTGACTCGACGAGCTGTGTTTTGTGATGTAGGGGTAGGCTGAAAGAAAGTAAGGGGCGGCCAAACCAAACACAGCATCAGTACATGGAGTCATTTACGGTTGGACTGAGCCATGTTACCAACCATGTTACTACCCGATTGATAATCCACTTGATTAACGTTACGGATGGTCAGAGACTTTGAATGGCAGCTTGAAAGAGTTTGCAATGGCGCAGATGTATCCATTATTTGTCTTCTCTCAAATTCTAATCTGAAATCCTCATGACTTGTTTCTCTTTCTTAATTTATTTCACTGGATTAAACTTCTCGAAAAACATCTTCGAACCCTAATCTTCTCTATTACGTACGAAGTTCTATGTTGTAGCTGACTTACTAAGGTCAGAAATGGCCTTCTGTCCCTCACCATCAGTTGGTAATATTCAAGTTAGTGAATAATGGTATCAACCTGATCATATGTGTTTGCGTTCTCACCTTATTTTACATTTTAGAATTGATGTTTTGGTTTCTCTCAGTACGTTGAGCAAATCCAATGATGTTTTATTTATCATTACAGCAGTCAAACGATAGTTTCCCATCAGAAAAAGCGTTGTGTCGTGTATAATCAAGTAAAAGTGGTTAGATAACTTAAAACATTTGTCAACGTCTGTTTTTAGAATAATGACTATTGCAATAATATAGTTAGGTTTTTATTTATATATATATAAATATATATACATATTTTGGCAAAAGAATTTTTGTGCTCAGACCTATATCGTACAGAGAGCAAATGGATGTGGAATGAATTGTTACAGGTAACGTGGATAGGACATCCTAGTGACAACAAAAAATAAGTTAGGATTACTGACGTGAGGTAAGAGTTTGGTATCTATGTGGTGGAAAAGTGTATGGCTTGATAAAGATGAGTACACTGTTTTTAATAGTTTATATAAACTTGTTTAAAGTCAGAATTCGTGATTAATAGAATCGACATTATTCGCATGCCAGTTTACTATCGAATGAGGATAAAGCGATTCCAAATGCCTGTAGGGCACACATAGGATACATATAGTCCATCGTAAAAACGTCCTTAGCAATACGCCCGAATTGCATAAGTATGTATTCATCTAAAAAAGGTAATAAAAAGAAAGCGTGTGTGTACAGCCTGAGTTTGTGACATCAAAATTGGGTTGATTTAAATCCAATGATTTAATGACAAAAGTAACAATTTCAATTACAACTGTCACCTTGAAGTGATATGGAGCTTGGATATCATACTAATTTATGGTATAGACCACAACATTTGCTCTTTATGTTCTCAAATTCTCAATACTTTAGTGCTAAGGGGTTGTCATCGATTAGTGGTTTTACAGCTTCAGTACAGTGACGCTTAGAAGCCAAAATTATCTATAGTAGTTCTGTTAGGTGAAGAGGTTAATTGTTTCGTTTCTTCTGTCACAAGCTTGGTGAGAAATAGTGTCGACAGTGCACATAGTCTGGTGTTTCCAGCCACTTACATAACTTCAGACCTAATGTAGTAAAACCTCATACCAAAGCTATCATATTTTTTAATGTTTAGTGACTGGAGTTTGTTCGATGTCACATGCGAAAATCACAAGACCATCTGAGGATCGTAAGTTCTGAGAAAAGCTCGGGTGTCTTATGAGCAACATACGCCATTATGCTGTGAAATTAGTCTAGAGTGGATATTATTTAGTAAGTAATACATTACTTGAATAAATAGTGTCCTAGAAGTCAGAAATTTACAACACTGTGGGCTGTAGCTAAAATAATATTAACACCGAAAACAGAGGATCAAATATAGCTTGGTGACGTTACAGGTTGAATTTAAAGGTAAGGACTAGCAAACAAATTTTGACGAATTTCGTTTTCCAGTCTAGTACGAATGGTCTTATTCGCCAGAAATACTCAATAAGACTCTGCGAAATTAACTCATCTTTACATGAAAATAGACAGCGCAATGCATTTGCGATGTCTGATTGTTTACAGACGAAATAACACTTAGCCCCTGTGTCTCTACCTGCGAATTATGTACGAGCTATTGTTCTCTTCTACTGAATTTATATCGGATTAAATTGAAATTATTTTGTGTAGGCGAAACAGACGTATTTCTAGAGGACTGCAGTTCGTAGACACACCCTAAATCCCACGTTTTACAGTCACCGAAGCAGAAATACTGAAAATGTGTTAAGCCTGGTGAACATAATACTAATCGAGATTTATCTTTCAACGAGTCACATAAATATAATCATCTGAACCTGGTCACCAACTTCAGCTTTCAGACACCACTTAATCCCTGTGGTCGACAGTTTTTGTGTTGGTGTTGCCCTATAAGGTTCTTTACTCATGCGCTGGTGGTCGGGTCTCACTTCAGCTGGGCAAATTAAATAGTTATGGTACCTACGGTCATTTATACGATTCCGTCAGAAATATGTTAGAAGCATTGTCCTCCAACTCACTAAAGAATAATTGTAAGATATACTGTCATTCTTATTAGCCTATAGTTTTTTTAAGTTGAAATCTTAATTTCTTTACCACCTGTAATATAATATTCGAAAAGCATTTCTTATGTAGTGTTGCGCAACTTTTGAATGTCAGTTCTGAAGCTTCAGTGTATGGACTTGAATGATCATGTATACTCTCGAAGGAACTACCCATACGCTGGAATAACCGAACCCTTTTACAACTCCGTCCACAACATAGGTGCATAAAGGCTTTCAAATTCTAGAAGGTAGAATCTTACCATCACTTTCGTGTACGATTTGGAAGTTCTTCACCGAAGCTTGAGTGACACGACCATGGAAATTGAGGACGTATGATTGGGTTTCTGGAAATATAGGAGCGAAGTGGAATAGGAATGTGTAATTATTAGTAAAGGTTAACAAAGTGCTGGAAGCTCCAAAGATTAATTTGTAATTATCATAATGCATATGTCAATATAAATTATCAATGAGCGATTTCACGGGTCATCTGCGTAAATTGACGTGTTTCAACCGTTTCCACTTCACGGAGCTCAGACCGAATTCAGTGTGGTTCTTTTTTTAAGTAAAATTTGTGTGAACTAGCTCTGGAAAATCGGCTCAACCGAACCGTTAATGTAACCTTAAGACAAATTATCGCCTTAGCTACAAACTAACGTTAGAAAGATCCATACTTGAATAATAATTCGTTACCAACTAAGATGGGTTCGTTAAGTAAATTAGTCAACCAGTTATCTATCCTGTTTGATTATGCCCTGGTACAGTTGAGAGTGAAGACAGTTCACTCATCAAAACGCTCTCATGCAGGCATGCATATATAACCAGTCTGGTAAAGCCTACTCATTGCTTTCTTGCGGCGGGGGTATAATCTACAAAATTCGGCGAACAGGAAGTGAGTGTTTGGAGCCTAACCCAGGTTGGTGGGTGCGAAAAACCCTGAATTCAAATTAATGGGACACATTGGCCTCAGGATCCGAATAGGATGAATGGCCTATGAACTTACTTTGGTTACCAGCTATCATGGGACTTCCAGGTCAAAGGCCTAGGGAGCTACCGCAAAAGAAAACCGCCTTCTTTGTTTTAGGTACTCGGGCAATACCCTAGCCATTTTGCGTCGATGTATTCGATGAATAAATATTTAGATATAAAGACTTGATTAGGAATCATAACTGTATATTTGGGCAGCAAAGGTTATGCGAACATTCTAGACGCAAAGACTAGGTTTATCCCTGTAAATTCTCATGGCGCTGGCTATATGTGCGGGAGCGAAATCGTAGCATTAGATAAACTTCAGAAGTTAGAAATTTGTTTCCGATTTCGATTCAGTGTGAGAGGATGAGGTTTCTTTACTGTCTTTCGACCGTAAAGCGTAAGCACTTAAGTTGCGATATAAAACTGTTCAGGTACAATTTGCTCTGCAAAGTAGAGGAGTTGGGTGAACTAACAATACGAGTATAATTAGTTTGTCTTATCATTACCATGAGTTCATAATTGGCTGACTGTGAAAGATCGCTGTTCTGCTGAATCAAATCTTCATTTTGAAAGCTTTCTTAAACATCGAACTATAGTCTCAGTGATATTTGAATTAGAATTTTGGGAACGGGGCTTCTCAGATAGTCTGTTATTTAGGTATTCCAACGAATTACGATTACTGTTCAGGTCATATAATTCTCAGGATTCTCGAAGTTGCCTCTCTGTAGATTTCTTCTGTTGTACTTATCTATAAGATGCTAATATAGCGAAAATCGAATGAAGCTCTAGGGCTCTTATCAGACAAGTGCGAAACCTGGTGATGATGAATACTGTTATTTTCCTGATACTCGTAATAATACTGTGTAATATTAGCATTTAAGTCAATCCAAAAATATCTTGGAAAAACGCGTAAGTTCTAAATGATATTTGAAAGCAGTATGCCACACAGAGACGGGAGGGTAAATCAGGACCAGATGAGCTACACTTAAACGGATTATGTGGTTGCTCAACGGATAGCACTAACAGGATAACCATTTAGTCAGTCAGTCAGTCAGTCAGTTGCAACGTAGAACTTCGTACGTATGTACATAAGTTCATGTTGCCATACCACATTATTAGCACAGAGACGCAAATGTCAAATCAAATCCCATGGTGATAAAGATGGTAGAGGTATTAATGTTATAATAAAGAAGACTAGGGTTTAAGATATTATTCAAAAAATATAATTCAGTGAGATAAGGTTAGAAAGACAAAGGTAGAGGTGCTGGCTAATCCAGAAGATTAGGATTTGAGAGAGCTCAAAGAGTGGATGCACCTGCGCCATTGCAAACGATTTTGAGCCATGTCGTTCAAGGTCTCTAACCATCGATGACTTTCGTCTCGCGGACCCCAACCAGGTAGTCTACATCTACCAACATGACTCAGTCCACTTGTCAGGGACTTCATGGATTTCTGCCACGTTTTGGTCTGGCCGCCCCTAGCTTTCTTCCAACCTACTCCTACACCACAAAACATAGCTCGTCGAGGCAGTCGGTGGTTAGGCATACGTAACACATGTCCCAACCACCTCAACTGATGAAGTTTCACCACTTCATCGATTGATCTGCCATCCTTACCTAGTACTCGTTTCCTAACGACAGCATTGCTTACTCGGCTGTCCCACGATATACGAGCAATGCTTCTTAAACATCTATGATCGAATACTAGTAACCTACGAACATCTTCTACTCTTAACGGCCATGTTTCACAGCCATATAAGAGAACGGAACGAACTGCTGCGCAGTACACCCGCCCTTTGGTTAGCGAACGGATATCTCGCCTACGCCATAAGTGACGCAGGTTGGCAAAAGCCAATCGAGCTTTCTGTATCCGTGCTGAGATTTCGTCAGTCACCAGACCGTCAGCACTGATGAGACTCCCAAGATAAGTGAAGTGATCTACACGCTCGACTACTTCACTCCCTATCACTAGTTCAGGTGCCAATGCAACCCAGTCTTGAAGCAACATTTTGCATTTCGAGGGGGAAAACCGCATCCCGAACATGCTCGCATTGTTGCTTATGGTAGTCAGAAGACTCTGCATTTTGTCAGCGTCTTCACCGAATAGAACTATGTCATCGGCATATTCTAGATCAGTAAGCGAGTTTCCAGGTAGGAGGTCAACCCCTGAAAAATCTGACAAGCTTAATGTTAACTCTAAGAGGATGTCTACGACAAAGTTGAACAAGAATGGAGAGAGTGGGCAGCCCTGACGGACACCACTTGATGTAGAGAATTCAGATGACAGTTCGCCATATGCTCTCACCCGACCAGTGGTGTTCGAGTAGAGTGCTTGTATAAGGTTAATGTACTTCTTTGGTACACCTTTCAATGACAGACACTGCCACAGAACCTCACGATCCACTGAGTCGAATGCCGCCTTAAGGTCCAGGAACACGACTATTGTCGGACGTCTAAATGTGTGTCTGTGTT